CATCACCAGACCGAAGAGTTTCTTCGGATCAAGATGACGGAGTAGGGCGCTTTTCTGATGGACCGAACAAAACGGGTGGTGCTCAGGCGATGCGCGACTACTTCAGAGAAATTCCCATAGTGGAATATGAACACCCGGCCATCCCTTGCGCCTTACCAACATACGGTCCCGTTCGAAAGATAAGCGTGGAGAACCGGGGCGGCTTCTCGAAGAAGATGGAAGCCAGGCCAAAGTGGCAACGGGCCCTGACGACGTGGCGGTCGAAGTATGGAAGTCATAATGCCGGCATTCTGCCGAATGGTTGACAATGTTCTTCAATCAGGTCGTTGCAGAGAAGAAAATGCCCGAAGTATGGCAAGAGAGCACAACGGTACCGATCTGGAAGAAAAAAGGCAGTCCTGCAGACTGCTCAATCGTCCAATTCTTTTCTTCTCTTATCAGTCCAATCTCGCCTGCTCTCGTACAGATGAAAAATTCTTGGAGCGAAATGTTGATTAGGAGTCTTCGTCTGATATCATCCAGATCTCGTATGCCAACCACTTGTGGCTCCACGTGACTGGCTGATAGCCACCACCGACGCCATACAATGCCGCTCGCCTCTTGCTGGAGAAACATCGTGAGAAGAAGAAGCATGTCCACCTAGCCTTCCTTGATCTGGAGAAGGCATTCGACCGTGTCCCACGTGAAGTTATATGGTATGCCTTACGGCAGCACGGCGTTCCCGAAGAGCTGATTGAGTGGGTACTGCATCCCGTGTCTGTACTTCAGAACCCGAAGACGTTTGAGGTCGGAAGTCCAGCCAGAATTACGATGGGGTTCTCATAAACAGGCGGGATGCACCAAGGCCAGCGCCTTTCCCGCTGCTCTTCATTGTCGTCATGAACGCCATCTCACAAGGCCTCAAAAAGCCGGCTCTTGGACGATCCTCTACGCTGACGATGTGATGCTCGCGTGCGAGGATAAAATGGTCTCGAGGAACAAGTGCAAGCTTGGACTGAACGGTTAGCAAACTTCGGGCTCAGATTGAACGTCAAGAAAACCGAGTACCTGACGACTGACCCGGACGAGTCTGGTTCCCTTAAGGTCAGCGGCAGTGTGCTCACACGAACTACAGCGTTCAAATACTCGGTCAAACCAATTACGTCTGTACGTAGTCTCGACTCAGATGTCGGAGCGCAGCGTCGTTAGTGCAGCCTGCTCTAAAAAAATGACGGTCTATGACTTGCGGGTTCTTGCTACAAGACAATACAGCATCGGCCTCAAATCGAAGATCTATAGGACCGTCGTTCGACAGTCGCGATATATGGCGCTGAATGTTGGCCTACGACCAGAGAGTTGAAGCGCGCCTAGGAGTCATGGAGATGAAAATGTTGCGATGGACTGCTGGTTGTCCACGCGGTATGGGATCGCATAGCCGAATGGGGGACGACATGTGTGAAGGAGAATTCGGTATTGCTCCTGTTGGCGAGAAAATGCAGGCGGAAGGCTCACCGTTTGATGTTACGGTCAGTGTTCTTTCGGCGCGAATTGTGACACTGTCCGTAAGATTGGTCTTGAGCTCGAAGTTCCCGGAAAGCGGGCTAGAGGACGCCCAAAGCAGCGCTGGTCAGACACGTTGCATGCGGACTTGAAGGTGGTTGGCACCCATCCCGATCAATTCCGTTGACAAAGTAAGGCAGCGGATCCGCTGCAATTGCGGGACAAACAATGAAGAAGAAGAAGAAGAATAAGAAATGTGAGCAAAACCGAAGCAATTTGGTAGGTGTCCAATTAGTGGGCAGGCGGCGTGGTAGGCGTTTGGGTCGTAAAGTTATAGCTTGATAGAGTCCTTATAAGGGTACCTCCCTAGGAAAAACCGCTACGCAGGGCCTGCTCAGGGTCGCGGTATAAATCGCACTCGTCTTTGGGGGATTTATCGTGCCAACTGCCTTTTAGCTTGCGTGCAAAGAGAAGATATTCATGTCCTCTATAGAAGACCACCGGAGATTCGGTATTTCGGCCCGCTGGGCGGTCCTCGAGTGAGCAATATTTGGCACGGCACGACATCCCAGATAGTAAACGCTTCTGAATCAGGGAACAGCACCTCAATGCAATAACGCTGTCAGTGCGATCCCTCTCCACACGGCAAACGGTCCCAGTACATCTTCTCTCCCCTCCCCCACTGGCTCCAATTGTTGACTCTGATTAGAAGGATCAGATGCGCGTAACGATTGCAAGCGCGCTCGCGGCCGCTTGCGATCCCAGCGCAGTAGCGTTGGAGCACACTTGTTGACAGAGTAGAAACTGCAGTGCCACTTCTGGGGATGATAACTTCTTCATGTCCGGTGCATTTCTTGGATGAAAAGCGACACGTTGAGTTCCACGGCAATTCCCCACAAAAAGAGCCGCATGATTAAAGGCGGCTCAATGACCAACAGATTGGTTTCACGTGACAGCATTGAGGCGCACTTTGGTTGAAAAATGTTTCAATGGCCGCACTCATGCATCGCAAGACTGGTTTTGCGCATGTATAGCTTAGACAGCGTTCTTTTCAACTGCTAACGCTCGCTACATGGACTTACGACCCGAACCCAAGACAAAACCGAGCTGACATTTATCTTGGGTTCGCCAACATTCTGCGGGAAATCATTAGGAGCCCAAACACAGGCCAGTATCCTGCAATAACAATGACGAGTACACTTGATCTGATACCTTCCTCTACAAAAGAAGGTTTAATCTAAAAAAATTACAAAAACTTTCCGCTATGCAGCATGCATGCACAATGATACCTCTTTTTTGAAGCGACGACCTTCGTCCTGCCTTCGACGTTCGGCCTGCTCTCGTCCTTCTTCCACTCTTTCTAATCTACGCTTCTCTTGTTTCTCTTTCGGCTTTTTGAGCTCCTCCTCCTCTTCCTTTTTTCTTTCTATGCGTCTGCTGTCGTCGCATTTTTGCAGTTTATTTTGCTGCTCTTCAACATGGCGCCTCTTCGAAGCCTGAACTGCATAATGCAGAATAATATTATAGTTATCTTCTCTGCGACTTTGAAATGGCTTTCAATGTATTGCTAACTACTTCGTGTCTTTTGTCCAGTATAAGTAAGGGTGTTGGTCCAAGGTGGAGTTCGAGAGGCTAGGTCCTGTGAACGGTTAGGCATTCCTCAAGCCATAACCATAAGCGCCGCAATTACGGCTCGGTATATTGATTTGCGCCTACCTACTGTGGTTTAAGAGACGCGTAACGCTTCATCTTTGTTTCATAGCTGTTTGTGCGACATGATTAGCTGAAGAACACCTGTTGTCAGTGGATAGCTCAAAGATAACACATGTTCTCAAAATTAATTGGTATCGAGCCAAAATAAATCTCAAATGGAAATGGGTCCACATCACTGGATTGGCATAATCGCAAAGCTGCAGGACTCCATGCCATCACATCAGTATGTCAGTCGGGGGTACTGTTTTGAATTACAAGTGAAATCGCTAATGCCGACGTGCTTCCTCCTCTAACGCTGCTGCCCTTGTGCGGCCCCTCATCGAGAGCATGGCACAGGTTTGGAGATTTTGGTTGAGTCCGTGCGACCCCCCCTTTTTTTGGAGGGGTGGGCGGGGTTCTTGGTACGATCCCCTTTCGGCCCTCTGTCCTCAGAGAGCTACTGATCAGGGTTGGAGGGGGGAGGTGGTAAAAGCATGATGAAAACAGGGCGAAACGCGATGGAAAACCCCCTCTAGCAATTTCTCCCCCCCCTTGCTGTAGCAATTCTCAATTTTTTCTCCCCAACTTCATGCCGTTTTTTCCAAAATTTCCCAAGAATTCCCCTCCTTTTACCCAAAAATTTTCGAGCAGAGGAGGGGTGGTATATAGTAGTACACGTGAAACAGGAAAATCACGAAAAGTCAAAAAGTGAACCACTTCTCCCAGAAGGGAAAGTAAGCGAAAGAATTACGACACCCCCTCCACCCTCCTACAACGAGCAGTGCCCCCCCTTCAACGTCCGTGAAGCGAGAAAAATCAACTATCAAAATAAATTTTTCTCAGCCCAAATACGATCCCCCTCTCCTGGCGACCAAATACGACCCCTCCCTATTGGGGATTCCCCAACAAACTATGTGCCCTGATCGAGAGAGTCCGTGTGCGCGGCCGCGAGTGAGTCAAAATGCCCGCGTCAAGTGACCGCGTGGCGCTTTGTCGGCTCAAACGTGCACGGGAGCGGGGCTGCAGGGGTTAGTGATCCCCAATTTTTCCGCACCTCCACACTCCGCCTCGCGCTCCCGCACAACCAGCCCGGCGTCCAGCCATAGAACATCACGCAATTTGTCTGCGCACTCTCACTTCTGGCGGCCTCACTCCCGTTCGCTGCACCTGGCAAAGAATCGTTGAGTGTACTGCTTATCTTTCAAGAACCAGAAAGTAAATCTTATATACGAACATTCATTCAGATTTCTTCAAACGACTGTTCAGGCAAAAGCTGAGGCCGAGGATGGCGCGAGGGGAGTATGGAGGCAGAGCTCGCGATCAGATATTCTTGAAAGTGGTTTTGAAACACTGAGGTCACTATGCCAGCAAAGTCAATGGAGAAGAGAAAACAGAGAGAAATGTTTAATGCCCCCAATCAAACTCATAGTAAGCGCAGTTGTTAGACCAAAGGATTTGATCAGACGAGATTTCGGGGCGAGTGGTGGGCAATATGGTCGCCACAACTGATCACAGCTGATTTCTCATTAACAACTGTGCCCCTGTCTATGTCCTTTGGTAGGCATACTGTTATTATGGCTGCGTAGAGCGGCGGGCTTTGCTCATGAAAGTAGGTCCCGTTCAGAGGAAACCATTGTCTCCGCTTGCTTTCTTACCTTTGCGTCGCAAAAATGATGGTTAGCTGCCTCTTCGGGTCAGTCTACCTGCTCACAAAGGGAGAGGGGAATTTCAACTAGATACGGTCTTGTCTTTCTTATTGTTAAGCTAGCAACCTCAAACGGCACGTAGTAATCAGCAAACAATAGTATACCAGTGCTGATTCACTAACGCTATGCACTCACCGTCACGGCCTTCTCGGCTTCAATATTGCCGTTGCCATCTTGAGTTTTCAGTCTGCTGCTGGAAAACATATTTGACTCGATTATCTGGTGAGCAGCTTCACTTCCTGCACGCAGATGTGCAGATTATGATTTTGTGGATTATGTGAGAACTAAAACTTTCGATGAGGGTCCTGCTGTGAAAAGAAAGAGCGCAGAGAAATAAAGGACCGCGGCTGCAAAGGCATCGAGAGGTTCAAAAAGCATGTGGGGAGCCAAGATACAGCGTTTTTCACTTTTTTGAAGAGGGGATCCCCGATATGGCTAAGCTACTTATTATGGATGAAAAGTTGGAACTGAAAGATTAAACAAAAGCAGAACACCATGCAGACGTGAGAGCGTTGAGAAAAACGCCATTAAAGGGACTGAGTTTTAGTTGTCCGTAGACCATTTGGAGTCCGTAGACCGATTGTGTAGGATGGAACGGATGTTACTGCATCCACTACCGTGACGTAAATCGCTCCATGTAAACAATGGTGGGTCTGGGCATGCTTGTTTGCTAAGGACGATTTGCGAGGTCTCATGATCGAGGAGAGCTAGAGAACTACTTCACTTGAAGCTTCAACAGTATTCGTCAGGATAAGAGGGACACTTTTGAAGAAAGTATCGTGCGAAGAACTCAAAGGCGTCGTTAGCTGAAATGAGCGTAAATTACTCTTTCGTGCATATCAAATAAAGACCGGATGGAAAAATGCGAAATATAAAAGTAATTTACCGAACCCATTAGTGGCTCTCGCATATAGCTTCTGAAAAAACACCACAAAGAGAAAATCACCTGTCATTTTCCTTAACATTGTTTGACTGCTTAGCCTCATCTTCCTGTTCTTCTTCTTCTTCTATTTCTGGCGATCCATCAACAGAACTGAAAACAATTGCAACTTTAAAAAGAACACATGGTAGAAACTCTTGAATGACTCACCACGCTTTCCTCCAACGAGGTATCCATCGCTTCGGTCGTTCGCTTTTGAGTTTTTCGCTTACTGCACGATCCACTTTTTTAAGCGGTGGGCATTCCAGTAGATGCACCCGTTTAGAGAAATGCTTTACGCTACGGTACGCTTTTCTTAGAGAAGGGGGTGATGAAGGAGGTGATAAGTGACTAGCAAGCTGAGGTGGAGGTGGATGACGGTATGGTGTATTATACTGAATAAACTCCACTGTTGGTGTCGGAGTTTGAAGGCGACTTCTTGGCTCATACGAACTGGCACTCCGAACAAGTGCCTTAGGTCGGGGTATCTGTTTGGATCTTCTGAACTGTTCCACAAGCACTCGATCTACTGGCGACAGCTCCGCGAGTACTGTGTCGGTAGTGGTTACCAAGGCTCCACTAGTCGTCGCGGTGCGATCTAGGGAGCCATCTTGGTTTAAAGGTCCGGAAACTTGAACTGAATTAGTTCGACCAAAGTCCGGTGGCGGCAAGTTGGCTGCACATAGAGGCTGCTTTTCGCAGTGATCAGAGCTTGCTGATCTAGTAGTGAACGCTAAGACTGGTGGGGCCTTCCGACGAATTGCATTAGATCGCTTCAACTGGGACGGCTGTTTTGAATCGTCCGCAAATCCGTCAGCTAATTGAGCTTCAACTCTTTTAGGCTGATTATCGACTTTGAGGTTCTCAGTAGTTCCACTGTTTAAGAAAAAGTCAGGGATCACTAAACGATTCACCTTCCGTTGTTGTCTGGATTCCATTTGTGGCTCCACTGTCATTGAGCGATCAAGTTTGCCTATTTTGCGCATTTGCTTCATCATCTGACCATTTTTCGTTGGAGGGATGCTTGCTTGCTTCTGTGCCACATGTAGGTACGCGAATAATGGACGAGATGTCGTAGGAAGCGTCGTAGTGGCCGAGCTTTTGCTTGGTGCTCGTTCAGTTAAGCGTAGATTCATACGAACATTCTTTTCTGGTTTTTCGGAGGCTCTCTGGGAAACCTGATAGAAGCTGCAGTGCTGAATGGAGATTTCAGCTGTACATGGAAACGTGAAACTTGGCTTGCGTTTAAAACTGACCAGAACAGTCCTTTGCTTCTCAACGTTTGTAGCAGGTTTCGCATTCGCACCTTTTTTATGTTCCTCCTTCTGAATGGGCTTATAGTTCTTCTGAGTGTTTTTCACCTGCCTCTCTGCGACAGTTGGAGGACCAGCGGAAATCGTTTGAACTCTAGTCGAAAGCTGGGCCTTTTCAGTTTTTGTTGAAATGTGAAAAATCTTTTCTGCTGCTATAGATTTTTCCTTGCACTTGAAGACGCGCGAGGTAGACACAGTTATACATGCAGGCGATGTACATTTGAGATCAAACGATTCTTTATGAGTTGGTCCAGCATCGAGTGCTTTGGAAGATTGCTTTGATGATGGTTTTCTGCGAAACGAAACCCTAGCCGTCGATGGTTTTGAAGAGAGCTCTCGGCAGCACAAAGACGATTGCAAACTTGATCGGCATGGCCGCAAGGTCTGTGAGCACGAATGAGTTGCTTCAGGTCTTGAGAACTGCTGTTCACATGTGGGTTCTTCATTCTTCACAGCGTCAGCGTTACTTCTGTCACTGTCATTATCCGTCGAAAGACCAGAATCACTCGAACTACTCACTGTTCGAACTCTCTGACGACGTTCTTCTCTTATGATTGGGATTTCTTCCCAAGCTCTGAGATATTTGGATTCATCCTCTGCGCTCAGTCCTCTAGATCGAAGAAGGTCGTCTACACGATTATGAGCTGCGAGCAATCGATTTAAGTACTCGTTCTGAGTTATGTCCTGCACACTGGTCATAGTCTGTCTAGGAGTGTCCTTCCAGTTGAAAGGCCTTGAAGGGCTAATGCTGTTGCCAAACAGATCGCCGCCACTGATCGCTGTTGCCTCGATACCGACATCGCCGGACTTCCGGCGCACCGCTCCTGACCCGCCATTTGAATCCGGCTGCTGCTGTCGACGCTGTTTCAAGTAACTTTGTGCTGAGGTTTCGGTAACACTGGCTTTTCTCACCCCATACCGTTCTAAAAGGGAACTGGTTTCACCGTCTAGCGTAACTCTCGGGGTCCCCGCATTGTCAGCAAATTTGCGGTCATCGGATAGTCTACGAAATGAAAATCTGGAGGAACCAGGGAGTGAATCACGTCTCGCTGATTCCTCGTTCAAGTAATCCCGAGAAAGAGGTGAGTCTCTGTGAGTGGTACCAGATGGCGAAGATGGTGAGTCAAGGCGGACCGATGAGGTCGAACTGCCGGGATTGCCACGATTTATTTGAGAGGGTTTATATACACCGGGCGAATATACATGAGGAGAAAAAGAGCTGAAACTCGACCACATAACCCACTATTGATCCTCTTTCCCAGACATGGTGAACAGCCAACAACTGAAATTTGCTACTTGGTACAAACTATGGGTCAACGAAACACGTATGAAAACCGGTTATTTCCCTATAATCACTTAACACACCCAAGGGACCCTCAGTGCACAGCGAACGACGCAGTCGAGAACTGAAATACAGAAGTTTTTGAAATGGCACGTGAAAACTACGTCTGTGATAGTGGTCACCGGGTTCACTAGCCGACTAACATGCACATCAAAGAGGAAACTTGAAAACAGGAGAAAGAGAAAAAAAGCTTCAAAGAAGAAAAACACTCAGAACTGCTCCATAGAGCGGCAAAGCAAGCTACCTTTTGGTTGGAACCTTTCAAAAGGTAAACACGAGGCGGACCGATGGTTCGTGATGAAAACGAGGACACATAACAGGATCAGTTAGTTACATCAGTTACTGATTTTGACATTAATCACTTAATTTCACCGCCTTGTATGTGTAAATGGCGAAGATAAAGCCGTTGTGAAATCTAGAGTACAAAGGTTCTGCTGAAACCTCAGTAGTAAGATGATCAATAATTGTTTGTGGACATAGCTCTGACCTACATACTTAACAGGTAATCTGAGCACATTAAGCTGACGCGAGGGTAACCACCGGAGAATTGCCTTTCTTCCGGTGGGAGTCCAGTGAGGACTGCCTCATACGAAGTGGTACAAGAAGCCCACTAAGAAAAATATTATCGTTCACTGCCAGTCTGCTCATCCTCACCAGACGAACGAACAGCTGTCAGGAGCATGTTTCGATCAGCGACAAACGTCTGTTCGGGGGAGGATGAGCGAAAGGAATGCTTGAAGCTGGCACGCGATGTTGCAAGACTGAATAGCTACGGAACCAATGGAATCTCCTACAGAGCCAGTAACGGTGGCGTGAGGAGTAGACGCGGTAGTGGCTTGCTGAGCGGGAAGGTTCCCTTTATTCTACCTCACTTCTCTGAAGGGGTCAGGGGGAACTGAATCAGGATGTCTGGTCTACACAGCACCTTGTCATCAACAATGTCACGTGTCAGTAATTTAATGCAGCGTCTTGTAAGCAGTTGGCTGCATGACCTTCTATACACGATCCCAAATCAAATTGTTTAGTCTGTCCGACTGGAAGAGAGAGCGACTGCAGCATCTCAGGAGTGATCTACAAGATTGTGATATGTTGTGGGGACGAGTATATCGATGAAACTGCGCAGCCAATATGCTGAGGAAGAAGGAGCACTCGAAAGGCAGAGTATGTCTCCTTTGTCTCCTGCGTTAAGCGCCCACCGAGTTCAAACTCAGGCACGACTTTGAGATAAAGGTCAGGGTCCTGACGCGAGAATTCCAAACAAACGCACGGAAATCTCCCGACGCATTCTGTGTCCAGATCAGTAATCCAAGAATGAACCGGACAGAAAGTGCCTCACGGTGACGCGGAAAATAAGACCTTATCTAACCAGGAATGGTCAACAGGTCAACCCGGACATTTGCAGTGTGGTACAGAAGGCTACTGGCCTCGAGACGGTGAACTCAAACTATTTTCGAAATCCGCGGAACGATTCTCTGAGCGGAGTTATGGAGGGTTTTTTTCTACTGTTTCTTTCTTCGAAATGCGCTGGCGCCGGGGCGTTGGCACCTGTAGCGCGACACACAACGTTTTCGTGCAAAATAGGTATCATTTCCGCGTACGGGAGGTCAAATTACCTTAGCGACGGCACTCTAGCGAAATCTGAGGTTCTTGACTCAACTTCGAAAAATGGAGTTAGGTTAGTCATGGCTGACTGGTAGCCAACAGCGATACTACGACTAGCCTACTGGTGATGACTGGTCTTCGAGCTGAAATAACTCTTCAGCCATGTCTTTTCACGAGGCTCACTTATTCGTGCCATCTGCATAGTTTTCCTGATTATCGGGAAAAATTCCATTCCGAGACCAGTCATCGATGGTAGGTGAGCTCCAATCTGCTGCTAATTACCCATGGAATAGCCCACATTTTCCAAGTGAGGTCGAAATATCAGATTCGGCTAGAAACTTGTCCCCAGAGGGTAATTTGACCCGCTGAACAAACTAT